GACAAAGTGTATGTGAACTGCTGTATGAAAAGTGAATTTACTCTGTAAATCTTCACCCAAATCAAAATAAAATTAAAAAAAAAAAAAAGTTTGATTGCCAAGAGTTTGGCAGCTTGAACCCACTTGGTTGGTGATTTGAACCCTTTCAGAGGTGCCTTGGAAGAAAGGGCTGGCAGTCTGCTTCTGAACCATCGCAGCCTTGAAAACACTATGGAGTAATTCTATTCTGCAACACTTAGGGTCAACATGAGTCACAATCCTCTGACCCACAAACTGCTTTTTTTTGTTTGTCTTCTTTTGGAAAGCCTTACTGGATCTTTTGAGTCAAGGTTAGCTACCCAGTGTGCCCCCCCCCCCATCTTTAGCATCTTACATTTGAGCATTTAGCATTGTTGCATTTAATTAGGTCTGATTGTTTAGTATGTTTCTTCCAGTGTATGGTGAGTTCTGAGAGAACAGGAACCTGGCTCATATATATACTGCATAAATATTTACTGGAAAAAGAATATGTAATGTCACAATACAAGCATGATACATCTCCCTGGTATATAATATTTCCATTTCACTAAAAGATGTTTGTGTGGGGAGGAAACTTATCATTTTCTTTATTAAAGCAAAGCAAAAAATTCATTATTAAGGGAATGGAAAATTCATATATTCCTTTTAAAGTTAAAACACAAGACTTCCAGAAAGCAGCAGGCTATGCCCCCAGATTTTTTCTGGAGGTATTGTGCTTAAAATAATAAACTCTCATTTATATGGAAACACAGTATGGAAAATGATCCATTTCCCAAATGTTCTGGATAAGCAAGTATTACCATTTTTACTAAATGAGAATATATGTATGAAACCGTCTTTGCAAATTATAAGGCTCTGTACAAGTTTAATTTATTATTATTATTAGAAATCTGGTCTGAAAGAGGGGCCAATTATAGGTGGGGCTGGCTCCAGAAAACCAGGCCTCCCGAGGCCTCTCCAGCCCACCGCTTTTCATTAACGCACAGCACCTGCCACCTGGTCCCCGCTGCAGGGTCCCCGAGCAAGAGAGCGAGGAGCCATATCTGGGGCGGATGCCCTAACCGAGGCTCAAATACGCTTTAAGTTCTGATCAACCAGTTTTGAGAAGCGGCTAGGAAGGCAACACCAAGCACTTCCCGGCATCAGAATCCAGAGGCTCTGTGCTCTTCCCGGCGGGACAGGGCAGCTCCCCTCGAGGGCTGCAAACCCACCAAGCTAAGCTCCGGCCCAGGCCCGCGGCGCTCCCCCTTGCGGCGCAAATTCAGGACTGCAGAGCGTTCCAGGGACGCCGCTACCTGAGGGGCCAGGGAAGCGGGAAAGCTCAGCAATAACTAAGGGAAGAGAACAGACCGCAGAGGCCGACGCGGCTGCCCGTCTTGGCGGTCCTGCAGCGTGGCTAGCTCCTACGTGCAGAAGTTGGCCAGAGCTCCTGGTTAGGAAACCGGGGACGCCCTTAGGCTTCTGCTGAGAAGGTCCCCATCTGTCTCCTCAGGAAGGCAGTGCGTTTCTCCTTCGTCCTCCCGACCAGTCGCAGGAGGGCCCGGGGATCTCGGGCGGGGCGAGCGCACTCCTGGGCTCTCCTGACCAGGCCGAGGCGAGAAGAGCGCAGAGAGGCGCGAGCGCCTCGCACGCCACAGCGGGGACCTCGGCGCTGCCGCTGGCCGCAAGGACCGGACGCCGCCGTCTCGGAGTCGCGCGCCGCGCGCACACGCGGGTGGGCGTGAGACACAGGGGCGCTACTAGAGCGCGGCGTGCACGCGCGCTCCCACCGCGCACCCTCCCTCTCCGGGCC